AAGCCAAATCCATCAATTCCACCATAATAACTCTCACGAAGGATGCATAATAGGGAGTAAATCCAGAATTCTGAATCTCTTCCGATGGGTTGCTCAAATTTCAAGATAAGGTGTGTGTTTCAGGTGACAATGAACTAAAAATGGACATCATGACAGAGGCTCATAACTCAAAGTTTGTCATGCATCCCAGAAGTACTAAAATGTATCAAAGTATGCGACCCTGGTTTTGGTGAAGCGGGATGAAAAGAGATATACCCGAGTTTGTCTCTAAGGATCTGGTATGTCAACAGGTTAAAGCAAAGCATCAATGCCCAAACGGGTTACTTCAACCATTACCGATCCTAGAATGAAAGTGTGAACATATCATAATGGACTTCGTGATAGGGTTGGCTAAGACACACTCAAAACATGATGCTATCTAGGTAATTGTCGACCAACTCACCAAGTCTTCTCACTTCTTAGCTATCAAGATGACCGACCCATTAGATAAGATAGCAAAAATATATATTCGGGAGATCGTCACGTTACATGGAGTTCTAGTGACAGTGGTATCCGATAGAGACTCTTGGTTTACTTCTCAGTTTTGGTCTAATTTTTAGCAAGCTATGGGGACGAAACTATCCATTAGCACCGTATTTCACCTTAAAACCGATGGATAATAAAAAAGGATGATTCATACCTTAAAAGATATGCTTAGAACTTGTGTTCTAGACTTCGAGGGTCATTGGAATGATCACTTACCTTTGATAGAGTTCGCCTACAATAATAGCTATCAAACAAGTATCGACATGGCCCTATATGAGGAATTATATGGTCAACCCTGTAGGTCGCTGATCTGCTAGAAAGAGGTGGGCGATAGAAAATGATTTGACCCTGATCTGGTAGAGGAGACTACAGACAAGATAGTTAAAATTAGAAAGAATATCTAGACAGCTCAGAGTAGGTAGAAGTATTATGCGAACACCTAGATGAGAGATTTATAATTTAAGAAAGGCGATCGAGTGTTTCTTAAGGTCACCCATTTCAAGGGAATCAGCAGGTTTGGTAAGAGAAAAAAATTAAATCCCTGATTCATTGGGCCATTTGAGATCTTATACAGGATTGATGTGATCGCTTATAGACTGACACTACATTCAGAGCTGTCCAAAGTCCGTAATGTATTTTATGTATCCATACTACACAAATACAACCCAGACCCCTCACACATCATGTCCCATGAGCCCTTTTCACTCTAGGTAGATCTATTCTATGATGAGGTATCGGTAGGCATTGTAGACCAGAAGAGTAGAGTACTTCGCAACCAAAAAATTTCCTTTGTCAAGATCATATGGCAGAACCATACGCAGGAAGATGCCACTTAGGAACTAAAATAAAGCTTCAGAGCCTAGTACCCCCAGCGATTCGACTGAGTGAGAGAGTGACTAATTTAAGGGACCAAATTTTCTTAAGAGGGGAAGAGTTGTAATACTTGGGCCCGAAAATCAGCTCAGGATAATTTTTTTTATTAATTTAGTTATAAAATAATTATATTAAAATAATTATTTAATTTATTATATTTTAATTTTATTGAATTTTTGAAAAAAATGAATTAATGAGGAAATTGAAAATAATTTTGAAAAAATGGGTTAAATTTTGAATTTGGGAGAGGGTTCAAAATATAAATAGAGAAAATTCAGCCACGTGGGACAATACAGTCAGCAGCCATGGCAAACTAGGGCAAGCTACGTGGCAAAATACGTTAATTTCGGCACCACACAGGGGGCCATACGAGCGATCTGCGTACCCAGCGATCTGACAGTTCAGGATTGATCCCGCGCACGTAGACAGTCCAGATGAATTCTCCCTTTAGGCTTGATTGGACAGACGAGATCAAATACAATAAACGGATGAGATTCGACCACGCCATCAGTTGAAATGTGAAACGATCGAACGGTTCTCTTTGCTCCATGTCAGCATAAACAAACAGCACAGATCGAAGAAGAGATGAGTATTTAAACTCCTCTTCGTAGGGGAACCCAAACCCTAGCCGTCAGCCCCTACTAGAGAAGAAGAACCAAACGTTAGAGAAGAAAGCAAATCGTCGACTGCTGCTACTCCAGAGCTATTCCTGATCGCTAAAAAAGGTAAAAGTTCCCCTACCCATTCGAAATTCAATTTCAAGCTTCCTTGTAGCCATATCGCAGTAAGAGGGATTGCAGGTGAGCTGAAAACGACAGACAAAGCCCAAACAGAGCCGCTACGGTCAAAACCTTAAAATTACTCCGATGAGCCCCTTCTCGTTTCCTGTTTCACGCAATTATTTAATCATTGTGTTCGCCGTTCCTTTATAAGCAGGTTAGCTGGAGAAGAATCTCCAGCCGAGAAGGAGAACCAGTAGAGCCACTGCACCTGGAGACCCCCCATTGGTAGGTTCAGTTTTTCAATTTTTTTGGCCAACTTAGGCTTCCTAACGTGTTTTGTTACAAAGATGCGTGTAAAATCGGCCAAAATTAGGTAAAATCGACCAATCTGAGGCGATTTTGGTCTCTTCCTACATGATTTATCTGGTTATCTGGTTACTTGGTTATTAGTTACGATAAATTAAATCCCTTGCTTAAATGCCATTTAAATTGATAAGTGAATATTATATGAGATGTTAGTATGCTTTGGTGGCTTTTTGGAGAATCAAAATAAATAAAAGCTTACTGGGCATCCTGGGAAAGGGTGGACGGACTCGGTACATAGGGAACCCTATCGTGGACATTGTCTCAGTCAGACGGGGATGAGAAGTCGCATACCGTAAG